AATGCTATATGGAAAATGTATATTTTATAAATTCAGGTAGCCTAACGTCCTTCAGTTAGAATTAACTTAGATAAATGGAGATGGCATCTGCCTTGAACTTGACCAGCTTACCTGTCTTCCTTGCCCCTTCTTTTTGTTTTAATGTACCAAATAAATAAAGTTGGTATGGCAAAGGAGAGGCTTACCTAGGTGGTAGCAGAATTAGACTAGTGTCTTAGCTTGGGTTTTCCTTAAAAGCAGACTCTGAATCTGAATTGGTGTGCAAGAAGTTTTTTTGGGGGGAGGGGGAAATTAAGCCAGGAAGCATGAGGAGGGAATGAGGAAGTGAGAGAAGAGCCAGTGAAGGGGGTGTTCCTGAATGGATTATTGCTGGGGATTCTCTGAGATGCTGCAAGGAACACACTTCCAGGGTGGGGAAAACTGGGAGAATTTACCGGGTATGGTGAGCAGAATAATGCCTCCCCCACCCCACAAAGATGTTCCTGTCTTTATCTACAGGGCCTGTGAAAACATTACCTTACAAAGGGACAACTTTGCAGATTGAATTAAGGACCTAGAGATGAGGGAGATTATCACAAGTGTCCTTATGAAAGAGAAGTAGATGGGTTAGAGTCAGAGAAGAAAAATATGACAAAGCAGAGCTTAAAGAGAGAAAGGATTTGAAGTGCTATGCTTTTGGCTTTAAGTAAAGGGGAAGAGACCATGAGCTAAGGAATGCAGGCAGCCTCTGGAACCTGGAAAAGGCAAGGGAACAGATTGTCCCCAGGGCCTGCAGGAGCAGCCAGTCCTGATGACACCTTGACTTTAGTCTGTGAGATTGATTTTGGACTTCTGACCTCGAGAAATATAAGATAACAAAATTGTCTTGTTTTAAGCCATTAAATTTGCAATAGCTGCAGCTACAGGAAACTAATATAACTGCCAACTTGTGGCTCTCTTGATTTGATGATGGCTTCTAGGGTAGTATTTCCTTGGTGCTTCAGGCCCCACATGTAGGACACCCTCAGGCTTGTATGGGAAGGAAGTGGTCTGCAGGGCACCTCTGCAGTGGGCCAGTGGATTTGGCTGTGCCCGGAAAAAGGACTTGATTAGTGGAAACTGGAAATATCCTCATAAACACTTGAAACTATTGGATTGATTTGAATCAACAATGTAGGTTCCTGAGCCCCTCTGACCATTCTTTTCTGTCTCTTCTGCCTGGCATTTAACTGTTGGAGTTCTTTGGCGTTATGACTTTGGTCTTGTCCAGCCTCACTCTGTGATGGTTAATTTTATGCATCCACTTGACTGGGCCTTGTGCTGCCCACATTAATGGTCAAACATAATTCTGAGTGGGTATAAGAATGTTTCTGGATGAGATTAACATTTGGATGAGGAGACTGACTAAAGCAGGTTGCCCTCCCTAATGTGAGTGGCCCTCATCCAGCAAGTTGAAGGTCTAAATACAGCCAAAAGGCAGACACTCCCGTGAGTAAGGGAAAATTCCTCCTGCCTGACTCATGGGTTTTTATTTCCCATCTTTGAACTTTGAAACATCAGTTGTTCCTGAGTCTTGAACCTGCAGTTTTTGGACTACAACTACCTTCTATCAATATGTGGCAATTCCCAAACATTGGTTTTCAGCTTGAGTTTCTCCATATCCAATTTTTAAAAAATCCTCACCTAAGGATACATTTATTGATTTTGAGAGAGAGAGAGAGAGAAACATTGATCACTTTCCTCTTCTATGTGCCTCAACTGGGGATTGAACCCTCACCCTAGGTATGTGCCCTGACTAGGATCAAACCCATGACCTTCTGGTGTGTGGGATGATGCTCCAACAAACTGAGCCTCCTGGCCAGGGCTCTATATCCAAATTTTTAACTGCCAACAGACATATCCAAATGAATATTGCATTACTATTTTAAATTCCATGCATTCGGAGTAAACCTCATCATTATCTCCCTAGGTATTTGCTCCTGCCTCTGTATTCTATCTTTTTTATAGTGTCTCCATGCACTGCAGTCCCATATACAATATCATCAGTATTGCTCATTCTGAGTTTTAAATTTCTCCCTAGGATTTTTGCCACTTAGGGATATTGTTGCCTAATGGAAAGCAGCCCTGGCACATACAACTGAGTCCAAAAAAATCCTTGAGCTAAGATGGAACTAAAAGACCTAGTTTATTTGTCAACAAAGACACACATATACACAGGGAGGGTAGAAGGTAAGAAAGATGCACATACGGAGAATGGAACCATACAGATACACCAGAGTCTGGGAGAAAGAATAAAAAAGGGAGAAAAAGAGACACACAAACCCTTATCCTACCGTCCACAGGTAGTCAGCCGGCCCCAGCTCACCTCCTGCAGGATCCACATTCCTGCTCTCACCTCTATCGTTTTACTCCTTATAGGAAACCCAGACTATTCCCTAACTCCAAATATCTTGCTTCAGAGTTTGGAGTTCTGCTTTGTGTTCCAGTAAGTAGCTTTTCTGTTCCATCTCTCACTCTCTCTTTACACTGTTTACACTTGGTGTTTACACTGTTGTTTGTTGGCTACTTCCCACAGACCTGGTGGCCTAAGCTTTTGCTCATTCACATTAGGTCCCCATACCTTCTACTGACACAATGCAGTGCAGAATGTCTGGCCACCACAATATATATATTTGTTGAACTGAATGAATGAATTGGAAGCATTCTCTTGCTTAAATTTAACTTTATGCCATGGCTTAGTTGAGACATGTTAACACAATACTCAAATTTCACTTGTCCAACTTTCTCCCCTCCTGTCCCAGATTTCTCAGTTTTGTTTTTCCGTTTCTCTACACCAAATACTGTACTAGACACTTTGCACATATTATTTCTAATCTTCACAACAATCTGTCAGACAGGTTATACCATCTTCATTTCACATATGAGGAAACAGTGTCCGAGAGCCTTGCTAATTTCTCCAAAGTCAACAAATCAGGGGTTGACTTCACTTCTCCGTGGAACAATTCTTAGAATCAGTAATCTTTGGCTTCATGCTTGAGGTTTCTGCACTGTCCTCTTTTGCCCTTCCCACGCCTCTGATCTTATTCTGTTTGATCATTGCTGGCTTTGCCTACATACCAGTTGAAACAGAAGGAGTGATGAGGGAAGTGCAAACTTGAGAGGTCTTGTCAAGGTCTTGACGTGAGAGATGGAAGCTGTGGACTGAAGGAAAAAGAAGAGCCAGAGATTGTTCCACATTTTCAACCTGAGAGCAGGAGAGTGGTGGTGTAATACACACACAAAGGAAGATGGGAAGTCTCCTTCCTGTAGGTCCTTAAATTGGGTAATGGTTGGAGTTCCGGTGACTCTATTTCCTGGTTAACCATGGGCAAGTCTCTTAGTTTCTCCGAGTCTCACTTTCTTCATCTTTTTCCTGAGCATCATCTTACCTGACTCTCATGTTTGTTGTTGCTTTCCTAATCAATTGGTGCAATATAGTTGAACGTGCTTTGTAAGGAAGTAGGGCTGTATGCATGTGTTAGCCGTCATCACTCTCATAGGGGATATGATTACTAAAGTCAAATTGTAAATGGAGACACCAATTTTGGGTAAAGCATATCTATGCCACGGGTCAGCAAACTGCCACCCGTGGTCCAAACCTGGCCTGCTGCCTGTTCTTGTATGGCCTATTAGCAAGGAATGTTGTTTATGTTTTAATGTGGTTGAAAAAAATCAAAAGAAGAAAATTTGAGACAGACAAAAATTACTTGAAATTCGGTGTCGTTGTCCATAAATAAAGTTTGTTGGAACGTGGTCGAACCCACTTATTTGTGTACTGCCTGTGGCCGCCTTCTCACTGCAGCAGCCGAGTTGTGACAGAGATTGTGTGGCCTGAAAAGCCTAAAATATTTTTGGCTCTTTCCAAGAAAAGCATGCCAAGGCCTGGCCTACGCCTTTTCGGAGCCATTTTTGGGTCTGCCAGTCTGCGTCCTGCCTTTCTATCTGTTGAAGTTCCTGGAAAGGAAAGGAAATTTAAGGAAATCTTGAGAAGTTTTTTTAAACGAATTTATTTTGTTTGACAATAAATGTAAAATGAGGATGTATTTGTCTATTTCCTCATTTTTGATGCTTTTAAAAATAAATTTTCACCCATTTTTATAACTTCAAAAGTCAGGTAAGGATAAAAAACCCCACTCCTAACTTCAAACCACCCTTTCCATGCCATGCTAATGCACGTTTTCATTTGGATTGGTGCTTCCTTCTATTCTTGGCACACATATTTCCAAATGGGTGTAATAATGGCCTATGAAATATTTCATAGCTGATGTAGTCCTTTTCAGTTGCCTTTTATAAATGTTACTTAATTACTGCTTTTATTTTTTTCATGGTTATATTGTGATGGAATGGCATGCTTTGTGAGCTACATAGATTTCAGAAGTACTTCCTGTTCTCTTGCCTTTGCTCAAATTTTTCTTCAAATATGAAAGCAGATGCTTCTCTTTGGAGCCAGTGCTGAGCGGCCCAGGCCTCCCCATCGCCACTCCCTGCCTTACTCTGCTCTGGCATTGATTCGAGTGCAGAATTCTCATTGAGCTTAAAACCTGAGAGTGAGGAGTACAGCTCAGGAGAAGATGTCAGATAAAAAATGAACTTGATATTTTAGTCTACAGCCATACCACCCTGAATGCGCCTGATCTTGTCTGAACTTGATATTTTAAAGGTGGTTTCCTCCCTCCTTCCCCAGCGCTCCCTGCAAGGCTTTTAATAACAATAAAAAGTACATTCAGCAAACCAAAATATTCTCTGTTCCTCTAACAAAAATATGAAGTGTATGTTTGTGCTGTCTGTCTGATTTTTTAAAAATAAATGAGAATTAAAAATAAGACTATTTTGTCATTATCTAAATACTGTTTACCCTTTTATTGTGTTTTATGCAATATGTATCAAATTAACTTAATACCATGAAATATGTTATTGAATTAACACAATGAAATATAAGCAAAATGATGGCTATTTAAATTTTATTCTCTTATTTTCCGTAGTGAGAAGCTGGATGGAAAAACTAAAAGACAAGGTAAGAGAAGTATTTTCTGCCTTCAGATTTATATTACAGGGCATGGCTCTGGCAAATACAATATCTTCAGAATAATGGAGCCTTGGTTCATTGTGGTTTTGGTAATCTATGGAAAGATTCAGGTCCCAGCAAGACAGGTGTTCCCTTTAAGTTCCTTCCTGTATAACACTCTTTGGAGCACCATTCATTCTTATGGCAACATCTGATGATTAAGCATACCAAATGTTGCCTTAAGAATGAATGGTGATTCCACGTAACATTGGAAAAGACATAGAAAAGGCCCATCAGTCTATTTATCGGCTCCATGATGCCTTTGTTAGAAAAGTTGAAATGCTGAAGAAGCCCAAGTTTGAATTGGGAAAACTCGTAGAGCTTCATGGTGAAGGCAGCAGTTCTGGAAAACGCTGCTGGGGATGAGACAGGCGCTGAAACTGAATGAGCTGATGCATGTGAGCCCCCAGTTCAGGAATCTGTTTAAAATTCAGACACTTAATGGTGACAAAAAATCCTATTTAGGATTTTAAAAAAGGAGAATAAATGATGCTCCAAAGAGTTAGTGTCAGCATCAGTGTCATATAAGAAGTATGCTCATGTTAATCATATCCTTGACATATCAAAGTGGAATTTCTTCTAGGGAATTTCAGAATTGTAATCCCATTCTATCAGGCATTTCTTGTCCCCATGCAAGGCTCTTTTAAGCCTGATCTTCCTGTATGGGGAAGAAATACCTTGGATTTTGGAAGGCCTTGATTCTTCTGACCCATGGATGAACCTGATTTGAGAATAAAAGTTTGAGATGGAACGGGCACCCTTAAACTGTAGTGGGGGATGGGATCAAACACCTGAACACTCGAGCACTTGCTTTAGACCCAGTTGTATGGAGCCTATCACAGGGCCACTGCTTACTGAGTGATAATGAGCTGACCTGCCTGGAATGGCCGGCTGTAGGAAAATATTTTCCTCTCTTGCTTTAATTCTGCCATGTACTTAGTGATTGACAATATTAACTTTCAGGTTCATATTTTTCATTTTCTTTTGATTTTCAGCAGTGTCCAAGTTTTCATTTTTGGTTACTTTGTAATTTTAGATTGGAATTACTCATGAAAATACTGATGACATTTTTGAACTCCTTGCTGAAGCCTGTGTCAGATTCCATTACTGTAACTCAGCTCAGATTTAACTGGGGGGTTAGTTAAATGAAAATCCTTTCAACTGCCAGACATTGAGTTACTTCAAATTCACCTGTCTTAGGATATACTCCTGTTCATGGTAGTTCATATATTTTTTATTTTTGGGGGGGGGGTCAATCTTCTCCTTATTTTAATGATGAATATTTATAGTATGTTGCTACAGCACAACATTAAAGAATGAAGGAATAGATCTAACTGTGGTTACCATTACAAATTATGTTAAATCTCCTCACCATTATTTTTCTGCTTTTTAGTAAAATTTAGCAAATATAGTTTTGGAGAATGAGACTAATATTTATGTTTATAAATATTAAAAGGAATGTTGAAAAATTTTAAGCCTCCTGAGGTTAGTAGAGTCCATTTTGCTGCCTGTGATACAGGCTCCCACTGTTAAGGGAGGTCTCATCAGACGGGCTGAATAAGACTTGGGGGAAAGAAAGGCTCAAAAGTTTAGAGGTGGGTATATTCACATTGGTAATGCTTCTCGGTATTATTCAGGGAAAAATATGATGCAATGACAAGCAAACAGGCTCTGGCAGTTTAATTTAAGAATCCATATGCCATTGTTTCCATAGAGAATATTCTGAGTTATAAGAATGGACAAAAATAGACTTAAAAACAAGTTTTTTCATGTTTTGAAGTTGAATATTGCAAAATTTATGTCTGTGTGTGTGTATCTCTGGCACTCCATTAAAACAACCTGTGCAGGTTTAGAGGAAGACTATATTTTCTATTCCTGTGTACTTCCATCTTATATGTGCACTTTAGTTTTCTGGCTTCTCTTGAAAATTTCAGCCCTCTATTCATTTTCTTCCAAAGTGTGTTTTCAGCTATATCTTAATTTTTAAAAACTGGAGGGAAAATTGTTGAGACTCCCACCATGCTTGATTTATTTAATGCCTTATGTCTTCATATTTTGACTCTTTTTGGGGGGACTCACTCTAACCTTTCCCATATCTCTCCTCTCCTGTGAGTGAAATATTATACTTGATACATACATTCATGTATATATACATACATATAGTATGTATATCTTCTTTCTTTCTCTCTTCATCTAGCTAGTTATCACCTATAAAAGTCTTGTTAAGTCATTATCTTCAGAAACTATTTGAGAACAAAACTATTTTGTTTTTGATGAAAGTCACAGAATAGCTTAGAAATGAAAACTAAACTACATATTTAATGGCCTTTTCAGCCAACCCAGGACTAAAGTTCTCTGTTTAGCTTCATTTAATCATTCCCAATATTGGTTTTCCTGTTAGTTAGCTGGTGTCTAGACAGGTTTATGTTTTTAAAAGTTCTGAATTATTTCTCTTGTTGTTATTATTTAGTTTTTCTGCATTAGTTGGGAATAAGATCATTTGTGAGTGACAGACAATCTTTAATGACAATGGCTTACCCCAGATAGAAGTTTGTATCTTATTTATGAGTCTGAGGTAGCAGTCAAGGGTTAATGGGGAGCAACACTGCTCAAGAAGGCACTGAGGCTCCTTCTGTTTGATGCTCCACCATCTGTGACTTTCATTTTCAAGGTCACCTCATGGTCCTGATTGATAGTTTCAACTTAGCTAGGTCCATATTATAGCCAGAAGGAAGGAAGAAAAGGGAAAGTTAAGACAAGCCTTCCCTTTTAAAATGGAGGGTAAAGGTACTCTGTCATTCTTAGAGGGGAGGACAGAGTAAAGGCACTCCTCTCCTCTTAAAGAGCATGTTCTGGAAGTAACACATGCCAATAATGTGTCATCTCTTTAGTGAGACTTAATCACACGGTCATACCCTATTGCACAAAGGCAGGACAATGTCATTGTTATTCTTTACCCAGCTCATAAGGGAAGTTCTATTGCTCTAGCAGGAGGGGCAAATGGATATTGATGGACAGCTCCTATTCGATTTCCATCATTAACCTTCATCTTGGTTAATATCCGAGTTAGTGGTGCTTGTTAGGCAAATCCTAACTTGGCTACCTATTGATATATTTTTCAACATGTAAATTGCTCCCCCAAACTGAAGATGTATAAAAATTTTAGTTATGCAGTGAAGACCAGCTCTGTTGTTATCACCAAGATCATCCATTCTATTTCTTTTAGCCTTTAGGAACTTATCCAGAAAATGGAAGCCCCAGACTAGACTTCATAGCAGTGATTCTCATGTGTGGTCTGTATTGGCAGCATCAGCATCAACTGGAAGCTTGTTGGAAATGCAAAATTTCAGGTCCCACTGAGTCAGAAACTCTGGGAATGGAGCCCAACAATCTGTGTTTTAACAAGTCCTGAAGGTGATCCCGAGGCATGCTCACGTTTGAGAACCACTGTTGCAGAGAACTTATAAGAGCACTGTCTAAATTTAGCAGACTTCAGCCAGTACAGCATATCATTTGGTTTTCTTAACAGCTTTCTTGAAGACAGATGTTTCTGAACAAATACATTGTCCTAAGGAAGGACACTGTTCCCCTAAAGGTAAAACAAAACAAACAAAAACCAAACACAAACCAACTATATCTAGTACTGTTTTGGCTTACAATGTATTAAAAAAATTAAGACGGTTTATTTGGAAATAATTTCAAATTTACAGAAAAGTTACAAGAACAAGACTATTACAAAGAATCCTTATACTCTTACTCAGATGTGCTTGTGTTTAACATTTTACCTTGTTTGCTTTATCATTCATTCTCTGGTGCTGTCTGACTCTTTTTCTGAATCATTTGAAGAAAACGTGCATGCATCCTGGCGCTTTTGGGAGCATTCTGGTAGCAAACAGGGTACGGTTATCAGCTTGAGTACAGTTGACATTAATGAAGTACTCGTATGTAATCTGGCATCCATATTTAAGTTTTTTCAACAAACCCAAAATGTTCTTTCTAAAAAAAAGTTTTCTCCTTTAGTAAGAATTTAGTCTAGGGGCATGTCACACGTTTAGTTGCTATGATTCTTTATTTTTCTTTAACCTGAAACATATCTTTCTATAGTCATCTTTTGTCTGTCATGGCACTGACATGTTTTAAGAATATAGTTATAAAGTTTTATAAGCCTTAAGTAGATCAGGAAGAACTTTAGAAAAAGTTGGGGTCCATGCAAAGCTTAGTGATTTGTTGAATAATGACTGAGCTTTGTTTCTCTAGGAAAAACCTCTCAGTATGTGGGTGAACAATGCCATTGTTCTCAAAGTAATGGAAACATTCCTATATTCTGCCCTAACTCCAGACTTTGGCAGGCAGAACCTGCGAGGGAGCCAGCCATGCAGAAGGTGCACTTCTGTAAGGTCTTGTCTGTTCCTTTCATTTACTTCTAAAAATGTTGGGAAAGCATCACAGGCTGCATATTTCAGCACATTTTAGAAAACTTTTGTTCTCTTTCCCTCTCTGTTCTTGGCTTATTCTGAGAAATAGCAGAAATCATGCTACATTAGACATTTGAGAATAGCCAAACAAATGAATAGACTCATAGTTCCCCATTAAAACAATGCCTATCTAAAGTACTCATTCCAGCTTCAGATTTTCAAATGTTTATGTATTTTGTCTGGGTAGGCTTCAAGAAAGGCCTTCTCAGCCAGCAAACCAGCATCATCTTCCCTCATGAAGGGGAACTGGTTAGGACATACTCCTCTTGCCCTTAGGTGTCTTATTGGCCAAGATGCAGGGAGAACCCTTCATGTTATGGCCTTACCTTGAGCTTGGATATGTCCAGAGCTATTTACCCAAGGCCAGAGGTATGTGGAGATCATGTTTCTTTCTTAGGACCGAGGTATCCATAGTAACACCTTGGGGACATGGAGACATCTATGGGCTTGTTACCTCCATGCACTTCTGGAGGTACAAATGTTATTGGCAGTGATCTTTATGCCCTTCTCTGCCACTTCCTTTCTTTGGAGCTGAGGACACTCAGAATTCCCCCCAGCCCTCAACTTTGGTCTTGTCCCCTGGGCAGATTGTCCCTTACATATAAATTAATCCATCTACTCTATATACACAGTTTCTCCTCATCCTTGGCTTTTCTTGTGCTCCAATGTCTAACATCCTTCTTCTCTCCTTTCCAGGTCTCTCTCTTCCCTGTTGTTTCGAGAAGCCCTTACCTTTCATTCACTTACAAGCACATCCCTCTTTCCCTTCTTACTGCAGTGCTGCTCATATTGTGCAGAGCAGACCACCACTGTCAAGGCTCTCCTCTTGCCTCCAAGAAACACGATATTCCAGAAGGCACTTCACCCCACCTCCGCCTCGCCCTGAAGCTTGACTCAGGCCGACACTTCCAATTGATAGCATTTTAATAGTCCTGGCATTGTGCAAAGCTTACTTCATCAATCTTTAATACAAATTATATTTCTGTCATCCAAACCTGATGTTGACAAATGTGCATAATGAAATGGCTGGAGGTGCCATTAGGTCTGGGTGATTTATGGCAATGCTTCTAAGTATTGGAAATATCCCAAAATAGTCATCATGCCTCTCTCTCTTTGCCCTCTCCCCCCACAAAGTAACTTTATTCTAGATGCTGTTTTATTTCATAATGAAGCAGATGGGAGAATTCACAGTGTCTAAAAACCTGCCACCATCCAGCAGAGATGAGGAACCCAGGGCAGTGGTCTGTTGAGTCCTAATGCGAGTTTCCTGTTCTCTGCAGGCTGGCTATATGTCCGGGATGCTGGTGCCTGTTGGGGTGGGGATAGCAGGGGCCTTGTTCATCCTGGGAGCGCTCTACAGCCTTAAGGTGATGAATCGCAGAAGGAGAAATGGCTTCAAAAGGCACAAAAGAAAGGTATGGAATGAACAACAGCAAAACCTCCTCAGTTGCAGAACATTCTTTGCTTTTCTAATTTGCTTATTAAAACACACGAGGCTTAATGATGCGTGAGCGGTCTGGATGCGCCCAGTGGTTTGGGATTAGCTGTGCTAGCTGCTGCCCTGGCTTTGTTCACTCATCATTGTGTCTTTTAAAGGGGGCCTGTTCCTCCTCTTCGTTCTGCAGAAGAAGGAATTTTAATGCTTTTCTGTTTTCTTTCTCCAGCAGAGAGAATTCAACAGCATGCAAGACCGAGTAATGCTCTTAGCTGACAGCTCTGAAGATGAGTTTTGAATTGGACTGGAATTTAATTGGGATAGTCAACCATGTTATTATTTTATTTTTTATTGGGGGGATAAAAACGAACAACATCCTGCCACATCGCTGCTGTCAGGCCATCCGTCTCATCATCTGCTGGGTAGTAGGTTTTTCTTGCACTGAGCGGACAAGGCATGCTGTATACTAAATGTCATATGCAGTGTTTGTTTGAATTCTGTAGTGAATATTCCACAACCACGGGCTACAGCTCATAAATATGCAGCGTATGTGTTGTTCAGTAGGAGTTGCTAGGTTAGGTAGAGTAAATATTTTGTATTTTTCCACAGTGTCTTTTCCTTGGTTTGGATTACCTGCGCTGAGTGTCGCCGTTATTGCTACCAAGGCATGCTTACCTTTGAACTAGAAATCTTAACAAAGAATAACTTGTGATGACCGCACTCTACCTACTTGAAACCATAGGCTTGTGAGCCATGGTACATATCCCATCTGCATCAAAACTAGCAGCAACTTGGAATGAAATCTTTTTTTTGTCAAAAAAATCTTTCGGCTATGAGGATTATATGTAGATTTGTATGTATCTTGCATTATGTGTTTCAGTCTCCCAGTTTTATTATTTTTCTCTCTCTGGCTTATTCTTCTTCTTGGAAAGGAAAAAAAATGCACCCGAGTAATACATTAAATTGACTCTCAGTCTTAATATATGTTTGGTTTCTTAAGCGGTGTGACTGAGTCCAACAGAACTATCAACAGATTCTTACTTGCTTATCACTGAGGTGCGCTTTTTGTGCAGCATCGGACTTTGTCAAGAAGAAATGAGGGAGAAATCAAGAAGAACACGAGGGTCGGGGAGCTTCCAGAGCGCTTGTCTCCACCACTGGGCTCCGTGCTTGCATGGCCCCTGTCCTGAGTGACACGGAGCGCTGCTTTTCTATACCTGTAGTCTTGGCCATAGAATGATTGGCTGCTCTTGGTCCGTATTTGACTTCATTATGAAAGCAGACATTTTCTGGTAGAAGCAGGCTCAGCGGCCAGAGTCCTGGAATACAACAAAGCTTATGAGAAACCAGCCTCTGTCAAGGCATCTCACTTCAGGCCGTGGGGCTCTTTCAGATAATTTTTTATTCCCCTTGCAATGTAATTCCTTGCCCTGTCTTTTGACTCTGGGTATTTGGGACTTTTTGTAAGTCAAGTTTTGGGTTAAGAGTAGACTCATTTCCGTGAATGAATAGAGGTCATTAACAACACTGTCCATAGTGTATTCTAGTACAGAGGACTCGTTCACATTTATTAGAGCCTGTTCTACGACATTCAAGGTAAGTCGCTGCTCCTCTTAGCTACTGTGCGAGGCGGGGCACACACTTTTATTCTCCCATTCCGCTGCAGACAGAACTGAAGGGGAATGCAGTGACTGTGCAGGGTTATATCCAGGAAGAATCAGGACTGGAACCAGTGGGACTCAAAACCATGCACCCCCATCTTCCGTTCAGTCCCTTTCCACATACTTGGGAGGAAGCAGCAACATTATAGAGCCCTTCTTTAAAACCAGGGTTCTAAGGAAACAGGTGCGTGGTCAAGGAGCATTTCATACGAGGATCTGCCTTTGGTAAGTGAGCGAAGCCTTGCTAGTTTCTCACTTACCCACAAAAGTGCTCTTCCTTCTCAGCCCAGCTACTTCTTTTATAGTTACGTACATTTAAGTATCACCTGTAGGGAACTAATAGGTAAATCGGTCCAGAAACCTCTCTTGAATGACAGCTGGCTTACCAGAATGATTTCACCAAATAATTTAAATTCTTTTCATTAAAAGATGTAAGCAAATGTATGAAATTGATCAAGAGAAATGAAAGGCTCTGTGCAGTCAAGTGGAAATGAGAAGTTGACACAAAAGCTCAAGGTCAGGTTTAAAAATAGAACCCAGAACCATGACACACTAGATAATTTGTAATTTCATGAATAGCGACATCCTCATACTGCATAAAGTGTGTTTTCCTTTTCTAAAAGCAGCCCTTTGCTGTACTAAATTTAGGAGAAGGCAAGCATGATGTGACATCATTGTCATTTATTCTTGACAAGCTGTGTATAGGGGACACGGTATAGGCCACTTCGTTTAGCAGCACATTGGTGATGTTAATGCCCCAGACTACTCTTACTCTGCAGTCTTAACTACATCATGCCTAGGCTGAACCTCGAACTATAGTATAATAAAGTCACAAATAATATATTTAAATTTTTCCAGAGGGCTATGCATTTTGGCCTAAGTGAAAATGTCTCTGTAGTCCTTTTGGGGGCAGGTGACAGTTTAAAGAAAAAGAGTTTACTTAGATCACAGATTTCTGTGTATACCTTTTTAAGCATCTGGATTGAATGGAAGATTTTGTGGATGGTTCAACTGGCTTGTTTATTCTGGCCGTTTTCTTTGCCACCGGTGGCTGTGGAGCAGTGATTCTCATCAGAGGGTTCAGTTTATTTAACAGCATCAGAAAAGACTGTCCTGTCTTTAACAAGACCTGAGACCAGGCTGCTGCCGCCAGAGGAGCTGCTGGGCAGCGTTGTCCAGATTAAAGGTAGTAAATCAGGCACTCATTTTAGATTTACCTAAAATAAATGATTCATAGGCTCATATTTGCACACTAAAAATGAAGAGTCAGCTCTTTATGCTAACAACTAAGCTCAAAACATTTAACAGAGAAACAAACAGAGCTGTTTGGAAAAGGGGGGTGACAGCTGCAGCTTCCCCTGTGGCCTGGATGTGCTCCGTCAGTACCGCAAGGGACTGTGACGTCCTCACGGGGTGGGCAGTGTTTCCCAAACTCGGACGGATCACCAGCGACACTTGTTAAACACCCAGATCCCAAGGCCCTGCCCCAGACCCACGGAATCAGACTCTCCGGGAGAGAAGCTGGGGACGTCTCCGCTGGGCAGGTTCGGGTGCACAGCTAGTGGAACATCTATCCAGGGAACAACTTCTGTATTCAAGAGAGAAGAGAGAGCAGGCTCCTGGGGGAAAGACACTAGTTGGCTATCCAAGGAATTACATCCATCATAGTGGAGAAAGGAAAAAGGATGGAAGCTTCTAGAAAAAGAGTAGAACCCTGGAACGGAGAGAAAAAGCTTCCTCCTATGCCCTTGATGCCTTTTTTCTCCAATTAGAAGACAGTACCCTTCTTTTAAACCTCTGAAGTTTTTCCTCTCTCATAAACTGTTTCTTTCAGTAGCTGCTAGCCTAATTTATATTCACTATTTGGAGTTAATTAGTATCCCAGGGAAACATTCCCTTAGCAGTGTGTTAGCCTTGGCTTCCACTCAGGAGCTCCCCCAGAGGCAGTCTTCCAGAAACATTTTCTTAAAGTACCCATATCTCTTACATTGCCAACAAAGTTGAGGGGAAATTTTGAAGCCACAGTTTCAGAACATATTTCAAGTAGTTTTAGCATGGTAATTCAAAGCTGGATATTTCACTTTTTAAAGCTAGGACTTAAAAGTCAAACATTATAGAACTAACGGAAAATAATATAGAGCAATGTATTCTGAATGCCTGCTGCTTCTCTCCGTGTGCCTTCTTCATGTGGAAGTGTTACGGGGCGGGGGGTGATATTGGCCCACCCAGGGATGCCAAACACTGTTACAGAACAACAGGGCCTCCCCACCAAGGACAGTATACTAATACTGTCCGGACCACCTACTGGGGCCGTCTGTCCACTGCCAGAGGAAGGACATCTCTCAATGCCAGAGATTTGTGAAAAGGAAAGGATAGGTTTATTTAAAGCTATACTGACTTAAAGTAGTGACCTAACGTCTTCATTAAAATATCAAAGTCCTTTAGGATATCCACAAATGCACACAATGCTCCCTTCTCCCCCTGCCCTAATTCGGGGTACTGTAAGTCAGGAAAAGAGCACATGTCCATGTTTCCCGGCTGCTGGCACTATTAGTTGTGTTCCATCCAGGCAGGATGTCTAATTACTCCAAAGCCATGTGGCATCTTCTCATGGCCTACTGGCAAAGAGTTCTTTCATCCTTTCTCCAGGCAAAAATCCCTCCTGCTTCCCAGGCCACGCAGCCAAAGGGCACACCCCAAATCGTGTGGTCCTCTTCTACCAGAGCTTCAGGGGTCTGCACTCTGGTCAAAACCACATGGTTCTTTCCTCCACCGGAGCTGCAGAGAGAGTAGGGTCGCCACTCTGGCAAAGCTGAGTGGCGATTCTTTGCTAAAGCTGCATGGTGTTTCAACCATTAGCTGCGGGGGTCCCCACTTTGTCCAAAACCATGTGGCTCTCGCTCTGCACTGCCACAGCTGTGTGCTTGCCTCTCCTTAAATGGCTGCAGTGTTTGGGTTTAAATTCCTGCGCCAGTCCTTCGTTGCAGCCCCATTTCTGACTCCTACAATCGGCTACACTTGCCAGCATTCCTGTATTATTCCCAGCTTACTGGGCTGCCATCGTGAGTCTGGGCAGGTGTGGCCGATGTCCCGGAGCCAATCTTCTCCAAGCTCCCAGGCAGGGTGCAGGCGCTGTAACTCAGGGGACCTGCCCCCAGTTACATCTTGGGTGGAAGTCACTTTCATCCCTCTGGCTCAGAGCATAGCCTAAGCTATTTAACATATCTATGAAACCAGTTAAAGGTTATAGATATGTTAAGTGACCAACCATGTCAGAGGTTGGCTGCAAAGCTGAGGCTGTACAAAACAGCTCTCAATGGCCCTGCTCCATTTGTCCCTCCCCCAACTCACACCTGTGTGGGGGAAGGGGTGAGGACATCTTAATATTTCCTGGACACCTTGAGTTCTGGACCCCATTCCAAGTCCCTTTTTGGGGCCCCTCTCTTGGCTGCACTTCTGTTACAGAAGTGCAAATGAAACCCCCATTCGGAATCACATCCACAGACGGGGGGAGAAGCATCAAGTCGTCCACAAGCACTGGGATTTCTGTGGATACTCTAGACAGTGTTCCTACCAGCTGCCAAAAAACACCAGCTTTTGGAAGCAAGCTATACAGAATAAGGCAAAAGGAGCTTTACAGTTATTTGTATGGAGAATAATACAATAATTAATACAAGCAACTGCAAACTTACTTCTGTCCTCCCTTGTGTAACTTGGCACAAGGTTTAATCATGTTGTCTTTTGGCTAGATAAGCTTAGTTATATCTACAGGAAAATCTGAAAGAGGCGGGAGGACCACTGAAGAAAAAGAATCTGTCTTTTTTAGGGTATGTGAAAGTGTAGTTACAAGAAAGAAATACGAGTAGAAGATGGGAAAAAATAGTCATATTACAAGGCAGATGTGAAAATGGCACCAAGTGTTAGAAAGTGTTAGAGGAGGCCAAAGTCCTGAATGGAACAATGTGTGGGAAAATGATAAAGAAAACAAGAGAGGAATGCAAATGGGGGAGGGCCATGAAGCTCTGCAATCTCTTTGTGTCCAGCCTCTTTGTCAGAGAAAGTTACCTACAAGAGGCAGAATGCACAGGGTGGGAGGGGATTGAAGTCCAAGAAAGATGAGGAGGTGAAAGGAGCCTGGGTGCTTCCAATGAACTTCAGCTCAGAGTTCAGATGACAACATGCATTTTTAGGAGTAGCAAATAATTTGAAAACCAAATAATAGTGCATTTGTATATTTAACACCCCCTCCCAGTGAAACACATATGTCCTTTTTAGGAGGAAGCTATTAAACTGTTAAGCTCGGGATGGACTGAGGAGAGACATCTAATTATTTGCTTTTATAATTACC